GCGCCCGGGAGAGCCCAAAATGACCTCCAAGATGGCTCCAGATATCCCAAAATGTATCAGAATGGTTTCCTCTGTGTGCTGCCCACTTCCTGATCCAGGCAATTCCTCTGGGCATCGTTTCTGGATGGGCTGGTGGGGATTCTTTTTCGGTCGCGTCCACCAGCGAAGGCGCTAGCGGAGTCAGGAGCGCTACGGGTCACGAAAGCGGTCTAATTAGCAACTAAACGCGCCGCAAGCCGGCCGGCCCACTCACCCAGCAGCGGCTGACTGCGCAGGGGGAACGGCGAGCTGAGGGCGTCCAGGAAGCTCGGGCACTTGCAGCTCAGCAAAGTGCTGGTGAATTCAAGGTGTGCCGTGAGGCAAGACCCACACGAAGCGTGAGGACGATAGCTGCGGGCTGCGTGTCCAACATGCCGTCTGAGCGCCCAGGGGTGGTAAGCGATGGGCGAGTCGCCAGTGGGGCGCCAAGCCCAAGTCGCGCCAACGGCGTGTGCGAGCCAGCTGAGCTGCTCCGCCGAGGAAAGTCGAAAACCAGCCTGGGGGGTGGGACAGGCCCGAGGAGCGGCCGCGGCTGCGAAGGCTGACCAACTCGAAGCGGCCCGAACTCCAGGGGCCGTCATCCCGCACTGGTGGGGATTTTTTTGATTCGCGGCCCGCAAGGAAAAGTCCAGAGGGCGGTGTGACTGGTGGGGATTCTTTTTTTTTACAGCCGCAGGCGGAAGCGCCAGCGGCGGGCAGTCGCGGGCGGGCTGCGGCCGCGACTAGCGGCGGGCGCGCGCGGGGCCGCGGTCAGGCGGCAGGCAGCAGCGTCCTAAGGCGTCAGAGCCTACGTGCAACTGGTGGGGATTCGCGAAACGTCAACAATTTCCTGGCCGCTCCCGCGCGCTCCTGCGCTGCCTCACGTGAATTGTCCCAAGACCAGGGGGTCCCAAGACGGGCCCAGAGGGGCCCAAGAAGCGCCCAAGAGACCTCCAAGACACCCAAGATCGCCCCAAGACTGCCCAAGAGACCTCCAAGACAGCCCAAGAGCGCTCTGGACCCCAAGAGGGCCCGAAGAGGCAAATTATCCTGGCGACATACCCAACCCCTGCGCAATGCGGGGCATGAGTAGCTTGGGAGACGTTATACGGAGGTGATGACGTGACATGCGCGCATATGCTTCTGCGAGCGGCATTCGCGAGGTTCGCAGCCCCCCAGGGATTGCAAGGCCCCGCTCAGATCTGCGTGGTGCCTCACTCCGCTGGACCCGCCACCAGCCTTCGAAAATAGCGACGGTTTCGCAGATCGCAGCCCCCAAAAGACGGCAGGGTTCCGCTCAGATCTGCGCGGTGCCTCATTCCGCTGGACTCGCCAAAAGCCCTTGAAAGTGGCGACAGTTTCGCAAATCGCAGCCCCCAAAGGACGGCGAGGTCTCGCTCAGATCTGCGCGGTGCCTCACTCCGCTGGACCCACCGGCAGCCCTCGAAAGTGGTGACAGTTTCGCAGATCGCTATGCTGCCCCCCAAAGCAGCCCTCGAAAGTGGCGACGGTTTCGCAAATCGCAGCCCCACAAGGATGGCGAGGTCGAGTTTGGATCTGCGGCGGCTACCCACTATAGCTGACCCCCCCAAGCAGCCCTCGAAAGTGGCGACGGCTTCGCAAATCGCAGCCCCCCAGGCATGGCGAGGTCTAATTTGGATCTGCGGCGGCTACCCACTATGCTGCTAACCTCTGCTGCCTTTTAATGCTGTGAGTGCTTCTCTCTCTCTATACTTACCTAGCCCCTACTACCCCCCCAAGCAGCCCTCGAAAGTGGCGACAGTTTCGCTAATCGCAGCCCGCCCCCCCCCCCCCCAGGGATGGCGAGGTCTGATTTGGGCATGCGGCGGCTACCCACTATCTGCCCCACAAAGCAGCCCTCGAAAGTGGCGACGGCGTCGCAAATCGCAGCCACCCAGGGATGGCGAGGTCTAATGTGGTCTGCGGCGGCTACCACCCACTATGCGGCCCCCCGAAGCAGCCCTTAAAAGTGGCGACGGTTTTGCTAATCTCAGCCCCAAGGTCTAATTTGGATCTGCGGCGGCTACCCACTATGCTGGCCCCCCAAGCAGCCCTCGAAAGTGGCGACGGCTTCGCAAATCGCAGCCCCACAGGGATGGCGAGGTTTACGTTGGATCTGCGGCGGCTATCCACTGTGCTGCCCCCCCCAAGCAGCCCTCGAAAGTGGCAGTTTCGCAAATCGCAGCCCCCCAGGCATGGCGAGGTCGGATTTGGGCATGCGGCGGCAACCCACTATGTTGCCCCCCCAGCAGCCTGCGAAAGTGGCGACGGCGTCGCAAATCGCAGCCCCCAAGGAATGGCAAGGTCTACTTTGGGTCTGCGGCGGCCACCCACGATGCTGTCCCCCCCAGCAGCCCTCGAAAGTGGCGACGGTTTCGCAAATCGCAGCCCCCCAGGGCATGCGGCGGCTACCCACGACGTTGCCACCCCCAGCAGCCCTCGAGAGTGGCGACGGTTTCGCAAATCGCAGCCCCCCAGGGATGGCGAGGTCGAATTTGGATCTGCGGCGGCTACCACCCACGATGCTGTCCCCCCTCTAGCAGCCCTCGGAAGTGGCGACGGTTTCGTAAATCGCAGCCCCCCAGGGATGGCGAGGTCTTGGACCTGCGGCGGCTACCCACGATGTTGTCCCCCCCAAGCAGCCCTCGAAAGTGGCGACGGCGTCGCAAATCGCAGCCACCCAGGGATGGCGAGGTCTAATTTGGATCTGCGGCGGCTACCATCCACTATATGCTGTCCTCCCCAGCAGCCCTCGAAAATGGCGACAGTTTCGCAAATCCCCAGGTACCGCAGGCAACATGCACACACACACACAAGCGGCAATTACGCACAAGGCAAGAGGCGACAAGAAGGAGGGGGGGCGAGAGGCGGGAGGAGAACAAGGAGAAGACGCGGCCGTAGTGCTCTACTCAAAACGAAGACCCAACCAAGGAGGGTTGGGAAGATCATTGATGTTCCTTGTGGTTTTCAATGGTCTTCGTGTTCTCGCGTTTTCAAGCTTCCGACACAGAGGCCCCCAAGACCGCCCCAAAACGACCCAAGAGACCTCAAAGAAACCCCAAGAGCGTTCGGGACCCCAAGAGGGCCCAAAGAGGCAAAAATCAGTGATGTCTCGTATGTGTTTCAATGTTTGTTCGCGTTATCGCGTTTTCAAGCTTCCGATGCTTCAAGATGGCCCCGGAGGCCCCCAAGACCGCCCCAAGAGGGCCCCAAGACAGCCCAAGAGGCGCCCAAAACGGACCAGGAGGGCCCCAAGACGGCCCCAAAAGCGGCCCAAACGAGGGAACAGGAACCGAAAATCCAAGCCTTCCGCCCCAAGAGGCCCCCAGGAGGCCCCAAATGGCTCCCAAGAGAGCCCAAGAGGCCCCCTAGAGGCCGCAAGAGGCCCCCAAGAGGCCCAAAAAGAGACCCTAAGAGGCCCCAAGATGCCCCCTCCTCCTCCTCCTCCTCCTCCTCCTCCTCCGCCTCCTCCTCCTCCTCCTGCTCCTCCTCCTCCTCCTCCTCCTCCTCCTCCTCCTCATCCTCCTCCTCCTCCTCCTCCTCCTCCTCCTCCTCCTCCTGATATTCCCCGCCGTCCTCCCCCAAGTGTTCCCCGAAGGGTTTCTACAACGGTTGGGAAAACACATGGCCCAATAGCTCGGCAGAGCTCTTGCCACAACGCTCGACCACATGGGCGATTCCAAAAGGAAGGTGGCGGCGGTGACTCGCCGTAGGCATCTTCGATAATGTCTTGAGGTAGATGGCCAGAAAGCGCCCGCCAGTGCCTATACTATGAGATTTCTGAGCGTTGGGGTCAACCTTGCGTCGCCAACGCACACATAGTGTAAGTGTGTTCGGGTGGTGCCGATGCTTGCCCACCCCAGCGCTTCCCCTCCCACTCGGCCTCTGAAGGGGCGTTGTTTGGCCCCCGGGCCGCCCAAAATGGATCCAGGACGAAAAGCTGGCTGGGAAGGGGTCGGGGCCTCTGAGACCGCGCATTGAAGCGAGCACGAGACCTTTTTATTCTGAATTGGCAATGACCCGGGTTATCCTGGGGAGGGGGGAGGAGGCGCGGGCCAGCCAATAACCTAACCTTCGGGCTGTGGGCAGCCCTGCATATGCCCGCGCCCCCCCCACCCTTGACCTGCACAACCGGCAAGGCCAACTTATCCTGGGGGGGGAGGGCAAGCCCGATGACCCGGGTGATCGCCGGACCCTGAAAAAAAACAGTCTCTCTATATACCGCCGGATGCCTGGGACAGAGGGCGTCCACACGACACACACCGCAGCGTCCACGGCGAGGACCGGAGCTCGAGGAGGCTTCTGCCCCGCTCGGCCTCCAGGGGCCCCCCTTCTGGCCCCAGGGCCGCGGGGTGGGGGCGGGCTGCCGCGCCGCCGGCGGGGCGCCCATGGGGGGGAGGCTCGGGGCGGCCGAGGCGAAGCGGGAGGAGCGAAGGGGCGGGGCCGAGGCTCGGGTCGAGCATCTCCCCCTGCAGGCGGCTTTGTTTTTGAGAGAGAGAGAGAGAGAGAGAGGAGAGAGAGAGAGAGAGAGAGAAATCGTCCAGATACTCAACGATAGTCCCAAGAGCACGAAGAGTCATCCCCAGACCCATGTTGCTGGCCATTCTCGAAGAGTCCTCCTGTAGAGGGACATGCCCGACTGAAGCCGAGACGAGAGACAAGGCGCGCGGACGCGGCCCGCTGGCGGGACGGGCCAGACTCGGCCAGGGAGGGGGCGCCGGGGCGCCGCAGCGTCGCCTCCCCGAGCAGGAGGGGGGAGAGGGCCGAGAACATCTCCCCGCCGTCCTGCTCCCATCCCCCTCCGCCCGGCCCCGGCCTCCCCACTGGAGGCCCGAAAGGGGGACGCAGGGGGTGGGTTGGATGCCCAATAGCACAGGCTGTCCAAAACCGACAGCGGCCGCTGCTGGGCAGGCGGCCCTCTGCCTCGGGTGGACAACGGCCGCGCGCCTCGCCAGCAGCGAACCCTGCTCAGGATGAGCAATACCTGCTGATGGACTCTGTACCCATTGCTTCCGTACCCGCTTCTATCGCCCCGATGCCCCCCTCCGGCCCCGTAGCTCAGCGGGAACAGCGACCGGGCCCGCCGGAATCGACGCCTAGGGCTGCGCCCAGGGCTTCGGCTCCGGCCCCGCCCGCCAGCACCAGTGTGCTCGGGCGCCTCGGCGACGAGGGGCGCGATCGATGGGCGGCGACGTCGAGAGGTGCGGGAGCAAGAGCCGGGCGAAGATCGGAATGGAGGCCTCCTAGATGGGGTCCGAGTACACGGTGTCGGAGGATCGCGCCGCATCGCCAATGCGTCGCCGATGCATCGCCGATGCATCGGCGGTGCATGATCGACAGTGATCGACATCGGCGATACATCGGGACCATCGGCGTGGAAAAAATCGGGCTCCACATCGAGCCGCATCGCCGATGCATCGGTGATGCGGCGCAACACTCCGACACGATCTACTCCGACCCCATCTGGCAGGCCTAGACGGAAGCAGGAGGATGCTGCCTGTCTTTGCCTTCTTCTCCGTCGCCTCGGGCACATCGAAGACGTCCTCGAAGTCGTCGTCGTTGGCCGCGGCGCACCTCCCAGCGGGGACAGGCGCGGGACGAGGAGAGAAGAGGGGGGGCAGAAGGGCGGTGCGAATAAGAGGGGCAACCACGAGCAAAAGAGGCAAGGCCAGGGCATTGGACAGTGGCCTCTCCCCCTCCTCCCCCCCCTCCTCCTCCTCCTCCTCGTCTTCCTCCTCCATCCCATGTCATCAAAGAATAAATCCTCCCTGTCGCACCTCCGGACGTCTCAGTAAGGCGTTTCGCATGAGACTTCCTCACCATGTAGGATCCTGGAGCTGGAAATCCCACCAGCCCTCAGGGCGTAGGTGGTCCAGGGAGTTTCCTCTTCCAACCCCAGTATTACCCTTCGGGGAACGGTCTACCCCTCCCCGCTACCCCCTCCCCTGGACCAGGACGGGGCGCCCCACGAGGTGTCACAGGGCACTATTTTGCACAACATGGCTCCAAGAGGGCCTCAAAGAGCCCAAGATGATCTTCAAGATCGTTCAAAATAGCCCAAGATGCCTCAAGTCGGCACCCAAGATGCTCCAAGAGGCCCCAAGAACGCTCCAAGACGGCTCCAGGTGGCCTCGGAGACCTCCAAGGAGGCCTCCAAGAAGCCAAAATCCGTCAAAAATCGAGGGAAAATTAATGAGTTGTACTTTAACGCTTCCGATGGCCACCCGAGGCCTCAAGATGGTTCCAAGATGGCAAAGAGAGCCCGAAGTGAGGCCAAAGAGAGCCGCAAGACAGCCCCAAGAACGCCCCTGAGCGCTCCAAGAGCGCTCCAAGAGGGGTTCAGGAGCCGATGTGCGGTGCTCCCGAGGGGGGAGGCTAATTGCAGCTCCCCTTGTTTTATTGATGTCCTCCAAGACGGCCCCAAGAGCGCCCCTAAAGCCCCCAAGAGCGGCCCAGGAGTGCCCCAAGAGGCGACGAGACGGCCCCAAGAGGCGTCCAGGAAGCCTCCAAGAAGCTCCCAAGAGACTCCCAAGAGGCCTTAAGAGAATACCCGAGGCACCCAAGACGCTCAAAGACGGCCCTGGGCTCGCCAAGACGCTCCTCCTCCTATCCTCCTCCTCCTTGTCCACTGTCTCTTCCTCCTTCCTCCACTTCGCCCCCCTTCTCCTTCTCCGCCTCCTTTTCCTCCACCATCCTCCCCCTCTTGGGGTATCGGACGGCTTCCCCCGCCCGTTGTTCTTCTGCATGCACCCCCACTTCCCTGATCAGACCAACTCCCCTGGGCATCGTTTCTGGATGGGCTGGTGGGGATAAGCGAAGCGTCAACAAGTTGCATCAGCTTCACGGATAGAGGGCGGGTCGTTTTCAGCATGTGGCTCTCGCCTAGGCGCCGCGAACGTTCGTTCTAAAATGCTGCAACAACTTCAAGGATGGAGGGCACGTGTTTTTCCATATGTGGATCGCCTCAGCGCCGCGCACATTCGTCGCAAAAAGTTGCAACAGCTTCAAGGAGGGAGGGTGGCTCGTTTACAAAAATGTGGCTCTCGCGTTCGCGCCGCGCACAGTCGTCGCAAAAGCTCGCAAGAGCTTCACGGATGAAGGGTGGCTCCTTTTCAAAATGTGGCTGTCTCCTGAGCGGCACGCACGTTCTTATGTAGATTTGCAGCCGTTTCAACGATGGAGGGCGGCTCCTTTCCAAAATGTGGCCATCGCCTCAGCGCCGCGCACGTTCGTCTTCCAAGTTTGCAACGGCTTCAAGGATTCATATGGTTATTGACGTCCCAGGAACGGCGTTCTGGCACGACTTCGAATTGTCAGGGTTCAGCTTTCACGTTGATTCGCTGTGGAGTCCCAAGAACGGCGCTCTGGCAAGATGTAAAGTTATCAGGACGCAGCAATCACGCTAATTCAAGGCGCTGGAATCCGAGGAATTGTGTTTGAAAACTCGCAAACAGATGCCTTCCGATGCGGCACTTCCCGCAACGAAAAAAATGATTGTGGGACCTATGCAGGGAGACCTTGAAGGGAAAGTTCATTACAACAAAATGTATGCGTCTTGCGTTTGACCTGGTGCCTCCTCCCTCCTCCTCCTCCTCCTCCCCCTCCTCCTCCTCCCTCCATCCTCCTCATCCTCCCTCCCTCCTCCTCCTCCTCCTCCTCCTCCTCCTCCTCTCCTCCTCCTCCTCCTCCTCCTCCTCCTCCTCCTCCTCCTCCTCCTCCTCCTCCTCCTCCCATCCATCCATCCATCCATCCATCATCATCCATCCATCCATCCATCCATCCATCCATCCATCCATCCATCCTCCTCCTCCTCCTCCTCCTCCTCCCCATCCTCCATCCTCCATCCTCCTCCTCCTCCTCCTCCTCCTCCTCCCCTCCTCCTCCTCCTCCTCCTCCTCCTCCTCCTCCTCCTCCTCCTCCTCCTCCTCCTCGGGCGCGCCGCCCCCGGCCCCCCGCCTGGCCGTGACGGCCTTCCGCTTCATCTCTCGCCGCCCGGGCGCCCGCCCAGGGTGCGCCGCCGGCGCCTGGCGAGGGGCTGCGAGGTCGCATGTCCGCGGAGGGGGTGGCGGAAGGCGTCACTGGCACCCACCAGCCCAAGAAACCTCCTCCTCCTCCTCCTCCTCCTCCTCCTCCTCCTCCTCCTCCTCCTCCTCCCCTCCTCCTCCTCCTCCTCCTCCTCCTCCTCCTCCTCCTCCTCCTCCTCCTCCTCCTCCTCCCTCCTCCTCCTCCTCCTCCTCCTCCTCCTCCTCCTCCTCCTCCTCCTCCTCCTCCTCCTCCTCCTCCTCCTCTCCCTCCCTCTCATCATGCTCCTCTTCCTCCCCCCACGTGTTCCCAGAAGTGTTTCCACAACGGCTGGGGGAAGCATGGTCCAATAGCATGCCCAAACGTTTGGCCACGTAGGCGTTTCGCCGTAGGCGTCTTCGATCCGCCGCTCCCTGTTGATTTATCACAGGGGCGCCTGGCGTGCTAAGGTTCAGGTTTTGTGCTCTTTTTTTAACTCCCCCTGGGGCTTCGGCCGATGCCGTCGGCCTCCCGAAGGCCGCGGCGCTCCATAAAAAAACGTCTCCGACACGGCCTCGATGGCCTCCAAGACGGCCCAAATGGCCCAGGATGGCCTCCATGCTCGGAACAAATAATCCTAGATGGCCTCCATGACGGCCCAAGAGGGTCTAAGATGCCTCCATGTCCGCCCAAGAAGCCACCAAGACAGCCCAAGATGTCTCCAAAATGGGCCAAAACGGCCACCAAGAGTCCTCAAAGACGGCCCAAGAGGCCTCTCAAAGGGCGTTCAAGAAGGCCCGACGAGGCAAAAATCATTAATTTTCCTTTGGCTTGCTTTACGACTTTGGCAGTCGCTTCGTTTAGACATTCCGACTGCCCGAGACGGCCCAAGAGCTCCCAAAGATCGCCCCAAGATCGCCCAAGAGGCATCCAAGATGGCCCCGTAACGGCCCAAGAGGCCCCCAAAACGGCCCCAAGACGGCCCCAAGACGGCCCCAAAAGGCCTCCGAGACGCCCAAGGTGGTCTCCAGGACGGCCCCAGAGCGCCACAAAGAGGACCCAGAGTCGATTCAGAGAGGCCACCAAAACTGCTTCCGACAGTGGCAAACGGGCCGGGAACGCTCCAAGACGGCCAAAGGGGCCCCGAACAAGCCCCCAAGAGGCCCTCTAGAGGCACAAGGAGGCGCCCAAAAGGCCTCCAAGAGGCCCCCAGGAGACTCCCAGGAGAGACCCCAAGAGTGTCCCAAGAGGCTTCCAAGAATCGTCCTGTTCATCCTCCTCCTCCTCCTCCTCCTCCTCCTCCTCCTCCTCCTCCTCCTCCTCCTTCTCCTCCTCCTCCTCCTCCTACTCTCGCTTCCTTCTTCTCGCTGGGGGAGCACATAGTCCGATCGATCTAGCCCATCTATCAGCCACGTAGACGCTTCCGAAGGGGCGGCGGTGATTCGGCGTAGGCATCGTCGATACATGCGCGCATACATCGAGCGCGTCGTGTGCATGAGACGCGCGAGTCTCACATTGAGCGCTCCATGATCCAAGTACGACGGAAAAAAGGATCCAGCACAAGTCGGCCCTGGACGCGCCCCACCCCGCCTTTTGAATCCTTGGGACGTCTGCTCAATATGCGAACCGCCCCGCGAAACTTTCCGCCTGAAAAGAGCATTCCTGGGCAAGCCCCAACAGAAGACAAATGAATCGAAACCGCGGATGTGGGCCCATCTCTGATTCGTCGGCTAATGTCGAAACGCGGTTCGCTCGTTTGCGTTTGGCTCTTGTAAGTTCCAATTGCTTTTCTCAGGATCCCGCTTCAGGACCCTCCGTGAACGTGGCCGCGCGGTCCGTCCCGTTCGTCTTCCACCACCTCCTCCTCCTCCTGTTTCTTCTTCTTATCCGTATTATTGCTATTATTCTTATTATTGTTCTTATTCTTATTCCTAGTAATATTATCAGTAGTAGTAGTAGTAGTAGTAGTAGTAGTAGTAGTAGTAGTAGTAGTAGTAGTAGTCGTAGTAGTCGTAGTAGTCGAAGTAGTAGTGTTATTATGATTATTCTTATTATGGTTTTTATTATTCGTCTTCTTCTTGTTAATAGTATTATTAGTATGTGTATTATTCGTCGTATGCTTATTCTGATTAGTCGTCTTATTGTTCTTCTTATTACTAGTATTAGCATTATTATTATTATTGTTATTAATCGTATTCGTCTTATTCTTAGTAGTATAAATATTCTTATTATTATTTTTCGTAGTATTAATATTGCTCTTACTATTATGCTTATTCTTATTCTCCTCCTCCTCCTCCTCCTCCTCCTCCTCCTCCTCCTCCTCCTCCTCCTCCCCCCCCTCCTCCTCCTCCTCCTCCTCCTCCTCCTCCTCGTTTCCCGAGGCGGGGACGCAGGCCGTGGGAATCTCCACCGGTGACATCAGTAGGCCTCTGGGAGCCTCGGACAAGTCACCGAGGACCAGCCAGGTCAACGCCGCCACTTCCGGCCAGTGACCTCTGAAGGGTTGCAGGGGCCTCCTCCAAGCCACCGAGGTCCGGCCGGGCGACGTCACCACATGTCGTCCGCCGTGTCGTCGCACCGTCCTCTCCTCCTGCTGGCGCGGTGCGTTGATAATTGCGCTTCTGCCCCGCTGCTGGTGCGCTCTTTTCCTCTCCTCCCGATGGCGCGGTGCGTTGTTAATTGCGCTTCTGCCTCGCTGCTTGTAAGCTCTCCTGGGGCTCGGTTCGGCCGTGCTTGCACTATTTGAGTCTTGCTGCTGTGGTCCAGCTCCCTCTGGCTAAAACACAGCGGGGCTACCCATGTCAATTCTGTACCCCCCGCCCCCTCCCCCCAGCATTTATCCCACAACATGGGATAAGGATCGCGCGGAGGACACTCAGTCTCGGAGACGAGACTGCGTCTGCTGGTTTTGGGTCCCCATTTGCAGGAATCCCGCCTTAGGAGTGGGAGGTATCGTGGACGGCATCGTCACTCGGGATGACCCCCCTCCCTCTCGCCCTTCCCCTCGGCGAGGACCGTCAATAAACCCTCGTCAGTGAGGGCCGTCATTAGGCCTCACACCCCTCGCAACCTCCATCAATGGGGCTGCGGGGGTTCCCGCTCCCACCAGTGAACCTTCCATTTTGCCGTCAGTAGGCACCGGAAGGGGCCGAGGACCCCCCTACGGTCCCTCGGCCAACGAAGAGGGCCGTAGGGGGGGGACCCGTACCTCCACCTCAAGGCACACATGTGCCACCACCTGCAATCAGAGGCGTCAATTGCCACCCACCCACCACTCCTACCCTCCCGAATGAACACTCCAGCGCAATAAGTTGACAAGGTGTTGATCTGCATCTGACAAAGGCGGCGAGGAGGTGAGGCCACTGGCGGCCTGAAGAGAAAGAGAAGGGAAGTCCGACCAGACCGAGGAAGGGAGAGTTATCTGGGGAAGGCTCGGCCTTTTGTCCACGCGGGGGAAATCCAGAATCACACCTGAGGAGCTCCTCCCGTTTTCAATCCTTTGCGGGCTTCTGAGGGGGCGCCGATGGGGTGAGACTGGCGCAAGGGGGGATGGAACATCGACATGGAATCGGCGATCACACGTTGCTGGGCGGGATGGGCTATCAGGCCCCGATCGGGAATTCGTGTAGTGGACGTTTTGAGGCTCGATGCCTTCCCCCATTGAGTGCATCCCCCCGCATCGTTGCCCCTGAGTCTCCTGTCAGAGACGCACACCCAAACATCCGACGATCGTTTTTGTTTCGATGCGCTGCCCAAGAGATCCCGGCCCCCTCCCCAGGAGTAGCCTTGCGTCCCAGATCCATGCTTGATACTCCTGGGGCCGGATAACAGGCTCTGATGATGACGATGACGATGACGAGGGCGAGGACGATGACGACGACGACGACGACGATAACGATGACGATGACGATGACGATGACGATGACGGTGATGATGATGATGATGATGATGATGATGATGAGGAGGAGGAGGAGGAGGAGGAGGATGCTGACGACGATGATGATGTCGTCATCGTCATCGTCATCGTCATTGTCAACATCATCATCGTCATCATCGTCACCGTCATCGTCATCGTCATCATCATCGAGGCCGAACTCGAGACCAAAAAAAACGCCGATCGAAAGAGTCACATCGTTGGAGATGTGGGCCCAGGGGCCCCGCGCCGCCTGCGCCAGCGCGCGCCGCCCCGCGCGGCCTGGCACCTGGCGGATGCCACGCGGGCCGCGGCCATGCCCGCCCCGCCCCGCCGCGGGTTGCCCGGACGGCGCTCGACTCGAGGGGGCGCAAGGGGGGGGCGGACAGGGGGAGGTGAGGATAGGGGAGGGGGAAGGAGGGAGGAGGAGGAGGAGGAGGAGGAGCAGGAGCAGGAGAAGGACGGAAGAGGAGCGGGAGGAGGAGGAGGAGGAGGAGGAGGATGAGGAAGAGGAGGACAAGGGGGGGCGGAAGGAGAGAGGAGGAGGAGAAGGAAGAGAAGGTTTGGGGTAATTTCTGGCCTCTGGGGGACCTCGCGGGGCCCCGAACCCGTCTCACAGAAGACGGCTCGGGACGAAAAAGCAGTCCCAGGGAATGCGGTCGAGACAGGGTTCCACGCACTGATGAGATCCAGACGTCGCATGTCTGAGGATGGGGGAGGTGATGATGAGTAGGAGGAGAGGGGATGCGAGGACCGTCGCATATTCCAAAGACGTCTGAAACTAGACCCACTCCAGTCGCCCTGACAGCCGCCCTCTTGGCCTGGGGCGGCGGTGCCTCCTGCAGCCCCAATCTCGGCGAGGGGGAGGGGCGCGAGGGGGGGGGGGACGGGAGAGGTGGGGGGGGGAGGGGGAGGGGACGAGCTAGGTGCGCTCGCGTCACATCTGACGTCCTGCCATCCCTCCCATCCCTTACCCACATGGTAGAGCACAGCATGGCCTGGCGTCGAGGAGCACGGCAGAGCGCAGCATGCCATAGCCTGGCGTGCATTGCGCAGTGAAGAGCTGCATCACAACGCATTGCAACATAAAGCATGGCATCGCACAACGGCGCAGAACACAACGCCGCACAGCATGTCATGACATGGCGCCGGGTTCCTTGAAGGGTTAGTGAATCGTCTTCGAGAGGTCTGGGCCGGTCTCGAGTCGTGGCTCCATGTCTAGCTCCTTGGGCTCCCCAAAAAAGCTCCACACAAGGCGGGGTTGATGGAGAGCACCCGCTGGCTCTGCTTTCAACATCGCCTTCTCGAAGCAGAAACGGGGCTCCCGCTCGATACTTCCTGAAAATGACGACGCCCCAAAGTCGGGGGGGCTTCTGCTGCCCAAAAAAACAACAAATCGGCACCGAATATTGAATCACTTCCGATGGTTGTTTCGGGGGGCCATTCTAAAAATTTTGTGACTTATTTGAAAGAACCGAAAACGCCCGCGCTGCAGCGGGAGCACGAGTTGGAACAACCAGAGGCGCAGAAATAGCCAGCGCTTCAGCGGGAGCAAGCGAAAACCCATTTCCCGGGAATCCTGTGTGCAAAAAAAAACGTACGCGGAGGGGGGCCGGATATCTTCTGGATGTCATCAGAGTCATCAGGGGAGAGAGGAGAGTACTGTTCATATCGTGTAATTGTGAAGGGAATGGAGGAGGTCAAGGGTGGGGTGTTTTTCCCCCCCTCTGGTGGGACAGGAAGGTTCGGCCACATTCCGATCATTTTGGCGACGCGGCACTGTCTCAACGCACGTTGCGTAACAAGTCATTGCCAGCTGATCGCCGTTGTGGGAAGCCTCGTTTCATAAGCGGTCGACCAGACCACTGGGGATGGGGAGCGGGAGGGGGAAGGGGCTCGAGACATTGAATCTGTTCTATGAAGGGGCCCTGGGACACACAAATAAATTCACACAAATCAGAATATTCCCCATATTTTCCTATACGTTTTGTGTTTTTGTCTCCCCCCCCACTTCCCATATTTTCCCATATTTTCTGGGGAATCGACGAATTCATGGTGTCTGTGTGTGTTTTTTCCCTCCTGATTCTATCGCAGTGAGGAACCGCTCGACCCTCCAGGACAGGCAGCTGCGGGAGGTCGGGCAGGACTGTGGAGCCGGGGCTGACCGAGGCGGGAAAAGATCGAAGCCGCGAGCGATGGCTGGAGTGGGGGGAGGGATAAGAGGGCGGAGCCAGGGAGGGAGGGGAAAGGGAGGGCGACGAGGGAGGGAGGGAGGGGAGGGAGGGAGGGAGGGGAAAGGGAGGGCGACAAGGGAGGGCGACGAGGGATAAGAGGGCGGAGCCAGGGAGGGAGGGGAGGGAGGGAGGAGGGCGGAGTCGGGGAGGGAGGGGAAAGTTGGGGGTCCCAAAACCGTGTGGTGACAGACCCGGCGGTGAGCTCGAAACCCTCAAAGACCTCACCACACGGTCCGTCACCACACGGTCTTGGGACCCTGGAGGCTCCAGTCGCCCGAGACATCCTCGGAGAACGATCCAAGTCCCAAAACCGTTCGGTGACCCCGAATCCCCACCGACTCACCACACGGTGTGGTCACCACCCCGTTTGGGAGCCCCCGAGAAAGGGAGGGCGACGGGAAGCCGGAAGATGCCGAGGTAAAGGCAAGGGCGGCTGGTGGCGGTGGCGGGATGACCCTCGACTTCCCGGGCCCGTGCGGTGAGATAGGCACGCAGGGCATATGCGAAAAACAGAAGGCCGAGCCAGGGCGGCTCTCAGGCCGACCCAGCGAGGTGAAGGCGGCCGCACAGCGGAAACGCACAGGTGAAGCTTCGAAAAAAAAACAGGCGGGAGGGCGCGCCGGAAGGCACCGGTGGCGAGCAGGGCCGCCAGAGGGCGGCGGCAGAAAGGGGCGGGGCGACGCTCGCGGTCTCTCTCTCTCTCTCTCTCTCTCTCGTCGTTTTTTTGTTTCTCTCTCTCTCTCTCTTTCTCTCTCTCTCTCTCTCTCTCTCCCTCTCTTTATCTCTCTCTCTCTCTCTTTCTCTCTTTCTCTCTTTTTCTCTCTCTCTCTCTCTCTCTCTCTACATTATTTCTCAATCTCCCTCTCTCCCTCCCTCTCTCTGTCTCTCTCTCTCTCTCTGTCTTTCTTTCTCTCTCTCTCTCTCTCTCTCTCTCTCTCTCTCTACGTACAATTTCGAAATAGATGTGTTTGATACCTATAAACATATATATATATACACACGTGTATGTATAAATTAATATGCTTGTGTAAATATACACATATAAATATACACATATATACACACACATAAATATATATGTATATATGTATATATACACATAGATACATATAAACATATCTATACATATACCCCTCTCACTCTCTCTGGCGCACCTCCCGCGCACCCAGCCGTGCAGCGGCACGGCGGCACGGCGGGTCCGCTCGCGCCGCGCGCCGGGCCCCGCCCGTGCAGGGCCCCCCCCCGCCACCCCAAGGGCCGCTGGGAGCCCGCGGAGCCCACGGGCTGTGAGCGCTGGGCCGCGGCACGGCGTGCTGCGCCCCGGGGTCTAAGGACGACCCCGAGCCATCTCACTCTCTCTCTCTCTCTCTTTCTGCGTTTCTCTCTCTCTGTCTCTCTCTCTCTCTCTCTGTTTCTCTGTGCTTCTCTTTGTTTATCTCTATATCTATATACACACATGTCTATATTTATACTGTCGTTCTTTGCTTGTGTGCTCTGGTTCGGTGCTTCTCTCTCTCTCTCTCTCTCGCTCTCAAGACGCCGCTTGGGCTCGAGCTGTGCGGCCAATTGCTGCGACGCCCCGCCCGAGCACCCCGACGCTGCTCCGGACTCTGTGCTCGCTTGAGCGGCTCCGCCACATCATGGAATCGAAGTTCGGGGTTGTGTACTGCGCCGTTGTATGGAGAAGGCATACAAGGCTTCGCCGACGTCAATTTCAAAATTCCCATTGGATGCGAAATTGAATTCCGCTATATCGTCAGGCCTGCTACCGTCACCCCCACCACTTGAGGCTCCGCAGACTTGGATCGGAGCTTCGATTGGCAAGATAGACGTGCACCCGCTTTCGCCAGCGCCGCCAACATTTGCTGGAGTCCTGCCCACCAGATTCCATCTCGTGCCCGAAGTCCCCACTTCACCGTGGAGGCACCGGAGTCGAAGGGAGCCAGGAAGAGCAGGAGTCGCAGGGAGAACAAGCGCATGAAGCAGGACTCGGAGCAGTATCAAAACAGCCACTGCAGCAAGAGCCACGGGAAGGGCACGGAGATGGCGGGGGTCAGGGCATTGGCGGCGCCGCCCCCGCCCGTCCCTCTGCCCGAGGTCAGGACGGCGCCTAAAGTGACGCCGTCCTCGAGGATCGATGCGGAGGCGAAGTCGCGTCTGGATGAGCAGAAATTGAATGCGGAGGAATGGCCCGCGCTGCCGCCGCCTCCTCCGCCTCCGCTGAGGCGCGAGCCGCCGATGCGCACGACGACACCGCCGAGGAGGATCAGGACGGGAGGAGTTCGGTCGGAGCTCACAGCGAGGAGGGTGGCATCGCAGGCTCGCCGACCCCCCCGAACGCCTAGAAGAGCACAACATCGCCAGCAGAGATTCCGATGAACCCGAAAAGAGGGACACACCCTCCTCTTGGCATGCAGGAGGTATTGGGCATCATCAAGATCTTGAGCAGGAGCTTCAAAGGTTTGAGGCTCATGGTCATATGCCTGGTCTCGAGGGTCGTTATCTGAAGAGTTTGGTCGGGCTTCATGTTGGCACGGCTTCTTCTTCTTCTTCTTCTTGGAGCGGAGCGTGCTTCGACTGCGCTTGAGGTTTCAGTTGGTGAAGGCGCTGTGAAGCCCTCGTTTTCCAAGGGCTTCAAGCGTAATGGGCTGCGCGACGTTTTGGCCTTCTGCAGAGGCGTGTCGATGGGTATCCCTGTGAGGCAGTGGCAGCCTTGAGGCTAGGTATAGCTCGACTTGGTGGAGTGTGCCAGAGTTTCAGCGTGAGAGCGCGATGATCATTGCATTATCAAGGTATCTAAATTTCTACACATTGGTCTCCAACTTGGAGTCTCGTGCATCAGCTCAATCGAACTCTTAATCGGCCAATGGCTTCAGGTTATTGGCATAAATGCTTCATGTTTGCATTCGAGCGTAGAGGCCCCATTTCGTTGTCCTTGCAGCGTCAGCTTGATGTTCTGCCCAATGTTATGAGGTTCCTGCGCATCGCACGTTCCGAGCCTGCTTGCCAATCGCTTCGTGCAGCCTGCCATGCAGTGGCACACAGCAAAATATACATAGCTCCGGATTATATACATTATGTATATAGATACACGTGTATACACGTACATACATGTGTACAACTAGGGCAATATAAATACCGTTGTACTGTGACCAAAAATGTTGTATATACGTGTGCAGATGTATATGTATTGATATATCAGAACCCATACATCACCGTCGGTCTGGCGGATATGTTGTCGCAGTCGCCGTCCCGTCGCCACCTCGTCAACGCCCGTCGTCTGGGCATACGGTCTGGCGGATCTGTTGTCGCC